ATGATGCCACTGTGGAATCAGTGGAATAACTGATGATAGATGTATACAAATTACCTATTCACACAATAAAGTCTATTTAGTTTTCACATCTTAAAATATTAAGTAGGAGAAGGCGGGGGTGTAATATTTTTTTTATCACCTCATGACTATGACTATGAACATGCACCCCAGTGCAGTAAAACAAGAAGCTCTGAAGGGAAAGATGCTTCCTGAAGAGTAGGATATTTTTCTCTGACTTTGAGCTCTGACTTAGTTCCTACAGACATAGAGTTCATTTCACTTAACTTTATATATCTGCAATATAGGCATCAACATCTAAGCTCATCCCTAGGTTTTCTTTATTCTCACTAGTAAGGAATATGCTATTCCACAGTCTGATTCATCTGACCTATTTAGATGTCTACCTTCCGAAGAGATGAATCATGCCCTAAAAGTGTCTATTTATCTCCATTGACTATAAAGGCAGCCTAGCCAAAGACAATTTAGATATAAAATATCTAAAATTTAGATATCTACATTAGGACAGATAAATTTCACCCCAGAAGCCATGAAAGGGAGCACAACAAGAGTGAATGCTATTTTCAGCAATATTTAACTTCTGTATGATTTTGAAATAGAAATCCATCCACAAGGTCATCTGGGGGCAATACTACTGAGAGCTGCTGAGCAGCAATGCCCTGCTCTGTCCCAAACAACAGTGGAGCAGCTCCCTCTTGCAATGCACAAGGTGTCCATGAAATGGTAGTGTCTACTCCCTCTGCACCTTCCCAAAAATGTGTTTGGAAGAAGAGAGGAAACTTTCAGAGTACCCTTCCTTCTTTAAATTTTGTTTGCAATAATATTAATAAGGACATACTGCAGAGTCATAAACTGTATTTGTATACAGAAATGACTGCTGAACTTATAGGAATCTGCACATACTTTGTCTTCCCGCCATGGTTTTAAAAAACTTTTTTAAAACAGTTTCTCATTATAGCTTTGATTGACTAGAAAATATGTACCTTCTGTTGACTCTAGCTACTTATTGGATAAGATTCTTTACAGCTTTTATCAAGCGTATTCCTTTCCTTGGCATTCTTCACTGCACTGAAGATTAATATATTGCTGTAGAAATGTACGTCTGTACCTCTTTTGCCTCAGTGCATGAAAGTCTTTTTTTATACGTAGGCTTGTTAATAAAAGCTTTATTTCTACTGTATAAAAATCATAGTTCTGACCTAACTCAACCCTGATGCAAACCCTACTTGATCACTGAAGTCCTTCTCTTAACTCCACTTGGTTTTCAAATTAGTCTTCTGTGTCTTCCTTGGCTTCAGAAGGAAAACTTCAGTTAGATATAGCAGCTAAGCAGTATAGTCATTCATCTGAAGTGGAAAAAAGCAAAATGTGCCTATGTGCTAAGATTTTTTTTTGGCCACCAAAATTTACAACCCAATATTCACAAAGACAAAAGCATCATTTAAGATCACATAACAAAGCTAAAAAATGGAAACTGGTTGAAATAAAGCTACACAATGACCCTTCTTCATAAAATGCTGGAGTAGTAGAAAAAAAGGGATTCAGCCTTAAGAAGCTGTAATGATCTAACAAAATTATTTTTACCTTTTCTAATCCAATTACTCCAACACTTCCTAAGTGTTTACCACAAAAATTATCAGCTCTATCATCACCAGATTTCTCTTAAAAAACATTTTTACTTATGTTCTGTATTCCCCTTGATATGGGATTGGGATTTATACATGTAGCTGCTAGTGCAGTGAAGAGAGACCATGCCCTTTGACAGTGGGTTTAATTTGATTTTATATCCCAAACAATTTTCAGGATGATTTAGGGATTAGGTATTCTGGTGGGCTGAGCTATATATCCAATAAAACACAAGAATATTTTTTTTCTAATTCTTATTGGTGATATGACCCTGCCCTGGCATTTCTATCTTTAACATAACTGTTCTCTTTAGCGTGCTAACATCAGCAGCAGCCTGTGATCAATCACAGTTGGCTGGCCCATGCAATATAAACAACGATGCCTGTTCACAGGAGCAGAGATGCTGCCTAGAAACTGCAATTTAAAGAGCCTACTGCCTCATTTGTGAAACCACTTAAGTCTGGAGAGAGACAAAGAGAAAGCAGCACAATTTTATGTGATGATTTCTACTACTTAAATTTACAGTGGTAATTTATAAACTGTAAATTTAGCAACATGTGACATTTTGATTGATGAACTTTGCTTTTTTAGAAGGTCATATGAGGAAGACTTACACTGCCAAGAGTTAACACGAACTTGTCATCATGACAGTATATTTGTAATACTCTGTCTGAACTAACATAAGGCATTATTTTGCTTTCTGCATCCGTGCCATTCCATCAATATCCTTACGTAAGAACAGTATGATAGAGAAGTATAGAGAATTCATTTCAGCTAAGGAGGGAAGTTAAGATTTCTGACTACTCAATTATTTAAGTGGGATAACTAAGATACCAGAAACATGGAAGGACACCTGATTCTGCTTCAAAAACAGAGAAAATACAGTCACAATCCCTGATCCTTAGGTCTTGCTGAATTTTGCTCAGTACTTAGCTAAGTGTCTTGCAGGAAGTTTGTGGCATAGACAAAACCTGAACTCATCTTTCCCAACTCTAAGCTAATTCTGTAATTAATGGACCAGACTTTTCTCATTCCCTGAGGCACTGTAGAACAAGCAGGAAGAATATAAAGCTGGCTAAGAAGAATGTTGCATACCAGGGATTCCTACACTGCCTAATTAGGGTTGCTTGACTATGTCTTTTCACCATCATGGCGGGGCAAACTGAATAAAGCAGCAGGGAAAAAGTGCCTTAAAATCCCTAATCCATGATATTGTCCTCTATAGGTCTGCATCCTGTCAAATAACTATATTAAAAAATGCTTAAGATGCTGTACCTTTCATTGGGTCCATAATATATTACAAGATGGAGCTTAATTTAAGACCCAGAATGATGTTTCTATCTGTCATCAGCTGAAGTGAGCAATCCTCACAAAGACCATTCACACAGAGAAGAGAGCTTACATGAGGTTTTCAGGGGTTAGCTCCTAAGTTTCAAACTGATTTACTCATCTATAATATGTACAACTGTTTGTATGTCAGCCATGTCAGGTATCTGGAATGTAAAGATAATAATTAACAAAATGTGTGTATCTGATATTCCTTTGCAGATATAAGAACAAGTTTTAGATGTATTTTATGCAGGCAAAAAGAAAATAGCAAAAATCACACCAGCAGGGTTTAGTCTGCAAGGTTATGCCCTTGCAGAACTTCAAGAGTCAGTAAGACTACGAGTTCTATTTGTAAAATATCAAATGTAAAGAAGGTAAATATGTCAATTCAGACTCTGGAGCTGTTGGTAACTGCTTATGAGTTATCTGTCTCTCTTTGTGTCGGGGCAGGATTGAGTTTTTCCGCCCCACCCCCAGGCCCATGTTTCCTCAATTGTCTTGTTCTGTGGAAGACTCTACAATAGAAAGATCCTCTCATGAATCCATTTAATTTTCTCATGTACATTTTCTTACTTCTCAAACTTCAAAATTAAAATAATTTAGTGCCCACCAGAAAGGACTACACAGATCTCTCAGGATCCTAAAGCACAGCGCAAGAAGTTCTACGACCTCAACCTGCCCAGCTGAGAATCCATTTAATCATGCCTTGCATATTCTCATCCCACCTTACAGATTATTTTACTGCTTTCTTCTTCTTATACTTGCATTTCAAATTACTATTGCTTTCCACTGTGATATGCTGTCTCATCAACTCATTACAGTAGATTGGCAAAAAATAAATCAGAGGTAAGTTTTCTCCTATATTTAATCTAAATTGTCCCTACAATAACTTAATTACTATGTAATGTAATTAACTGATTCATGCTTCATCTTATTTTGGTATAGAAATCCTGAGTCTAACTACATTTATAACTGCAGTCCATCATGATCAAAGAAACCAAGTCAGTAGACCAATATATTGTATATGTGTCTCGATCTTATAAATTATTCAGCCTTCAACTGAACTTTTTCGTGAGTTTCCTTAGAGGAGTGGGACCTATGACTATTAGCGGAGTTTATTCCCCTAACAAAATAAGTATTGTGATGTTCTTTTGGGAAAACATAGGGGATATGCAGGAAAATAATATCACAATTGTTTTCTGCTGTATTAGTTAATAAAGGTCTGTAAAAAATGGCTCCGCAACAGCTCCTTAGCATGGAATCTGATACTAGCCTTTTGAATGTCTGGGCAATGCATAGGTTTTCCAAATAAGAATTCAGTAAAAGAAATAGGATGCAAAAAAATGTCTGTAATGAACACCAAGGGAACACCATCTATTTCTTCTATATTTCACATACATGGAATACAAATGTATCCAGCATTTCACACAAGTTTGCAAGCAATGCTTAAGAAAAACGCATTCTTCAAAACTGAAATGGGTTTTATCATTACCAGCTTCTGAATTCAGTTCATCCAGATTTTGTGCACTTACACACTCAGTTTATACACTCATTTGTTTTTCGTGCCAGCATCTGATAGCTACAGTGATTGCCTGGGGGCAGGATGACACTAGGGGAAGCCATACTTTATGGATAAATACATATACAAAGAAACAAATAGCAAGTTTTCCAACCTATCCATCCTGCACAGCTGAGTCTACTGTTACAGTTCAATGAAATAAAATTTCCTATTTATTTACAATTAACTAGTACCACCTTTCTGATTTCACAGTAAAAAGAATTCCAATGCATCCAGGTCCAAAAGGATTCAGGCACTCCATCTAATTTAACTGCAAATGACTCTTTTAGCATGAATTGTCTGTTTAAAGATAATGCACAACAGAACTCTTAGCTGCAGCCCAGAAGTCATGCAGCACCAGGCAGATAAGATCACAGTGGTTACCAAGAGCAGCAAATGGGAAAAGCACTACAGGAAATGAACTCTTGTCAATAATCTCAAGAGAGTGCTATATTTAGGTCAATTGTACCTGAAATCGTTTGGTGGGGTAATTGCTCTTTGGTCCAGACTCTGCTCTCTGAGCCTGTCAGAGTGCTTGTACGTCCACTGGATTGGATTCACCAATTTTCTTCCAGATTCATTTTCTAAAAGAAAAAAAACAAAAACAAAAAAAAACAAACCAAAACAAAACAAAACAAAAACAAAACAACACCTTTACTAAAGGATAGCAAGCTTACCAGGAACACAGAAAATCACTCACATGTTATTTTAGCTTTTAAAAATAGGCTTTCAATAAATGAATTTAATACAAAAACTTGTTCCACTATCCAACTGATTTCCTCGATTTTCTATAATAGAAATTTATTCAGTTATTCAGACTTTTTATTTGGCCCTGCAAAGACTTTCCACACCTGTTAAGTATCTAAGGTGATTTAAAGCGATCTTTTGCTTTTGCTGATCAGTTAATAATCAGTGCAAAATTAGAATTGTTCTTAAATCCTGTGATGCATCCCAGTGCAGCATTATTCAGGCTTTAATTCAGGTTGAGTCCTTGTCTAATAATACAGCTTATTGCTTAATAATTTAAGATGTTTTATGCATGTATTCAGAGGAATGTGATAAATTCAGTTTTAGGAATCCAATCTAATGAGCCACATACTGACCCTTTACAGCAGTTATCTGGATTCACACAGGTATCGGAAAACAGCACCTAGTCCTTCTGTCTTATGATTTCTTAGAAGAAATATAATATTCTGCTTTGATAGCACAGTCTCCAGCAGTACTATTCCTTCTTCACATTAAAGAGTCAGTACTAATAGGATGAATTTTAAAGTAAGGAAAACCCTCCTCTAGCAGCTATTCAGCATGTGTTTACCTTCTACACAGACAGATACAGCATCATATTTGTAGTTATTACTCAGTGCCTGTGATTAGTGTCTACCATAATTAAAGAAAATATCATGATGTAAATACACTGCTGAAGAATAGAAATGTACTTTTTATTTAAAAAAAAATTACTAAGGGAATAAGATACTCTGCTGAAAGCTGCAGTAGGTGCATCAGTTATTTTAGCTATTGTTTCTTCTGTAGAACTTCAAATTCAAAGATACTCATTAAACTGAGTAGATGGCAATAACAGACGAAGTGTTAATGGGGCAGCAGTGGAGTGTGTCAGGAAAATGAAGAGACCCTGAGGGGCTCACCATGCTGTTTATGCTCAGCTAAATTCAGCAGCATTACCATAAATCCTCTAAAAGATACTGTACTCAATTTCTTATACGCTACTTTTCAGGCAAGGAAATATTCTACAAGATTAGAAAACAGGAATAAAAATAAGATTAAAAATTATTTTCTATTAAACAAACAGTTCGCATGTAAATACACTAAGCAGTACTCTATTATTACTTTTTTGCAATTTTATAAAAACAAAGAGAGGGTCTTGAATCTTCAAAATAATGTGTGAATCTAAGTGAAAATCTCTGAAATTGTACACAGGAACAGAGCCTTTTAACAAAAGAATCATCATTTCTTTCATAAAATTCTTTTATAATTTAAGGATCAGGTTTCAATATCAATTTCTCACATACATAGTTCAAACAATTATGCATAAACCCCATAACTTTTCACAAGAGTCCAAAATTCTTGATTTCTAGTTTTTTTTTTTTTTTTTTTTAATTCTAAGATGGCATTCTGAGGGAGTAAATTAATCTTAGGGAATATACATAAACCATTAATTCCAATAATTTACTGCTTAAAAAGAAATATCTTATATACAGTTCTACATGCATCTTCATGGTGACCTTAATGTGCCTTTTCTCTTTGATCTTAGGAAAAAAGTTTAGCGACCGGGACGGCCGCGCGCCGCCGGGGCGGGCCGCGCGCCGCCGCACGCTGCCGCCACCGTAAACTCTGCACAATAACCATAAACTGCCGCTTTTCCAAACGAAGAGATTTTCTTTCTGGAGGTAGTGGAAATAAATGCGTGCTGCTGAATTTAAAATATGTTTAAAAATTAAAATAATGGGTTTTTTCCTTTTTTCTCCCAATGACAGTGTTGAGGTCTACTTATGACTTTCGATTATTTGGAACAACGAGAATTAACAGATCTGAAAATGAATCAGTTGTTAAAATACGTGAAGACAGAGCTGAGGGCCTGACTGCTGGCTTCCACTACGCGCTCCTGACCCTCCATTTCGAATCCGAAAAGCTGATCATCCAACAGCAGTCTTGTGTTTATGCGGGACAGAGTTTCGCATATAAAAATCAAGTCTCCGCATGTGCAGTACCTGTTCAGAGACCTGCCCCAATATCAGCTTGGCAAATGCACATGCAGCCATAGGCAACTTGCCTGCCCCTGAGAACATGGGAAAAACAAAGTCCCCACAGTTTTCCATTAAAATTCTGCCAATGATAAAAATGCTTTGTTTCAGGAAGCCAAACAAAAATTCGATTGCCCTTGCAGAAGTAGAAATATAGGGTACTTGTAAGAGGCTAATGTGGAGACTCTCCTTACTGCTTAGCACCAAAGAAAAGCATATTTAAAAGACAGATTAAATGGCATGGCCTCTGAGATGCCCTAAGCGATGCACTTACTATGAGAATGGCAAAAACACCTGGAATGGATACTTTATCCTTATGAGCAGCAGATATTTTAGTAGCAGCCAAGAAAATTCCCACAAAAAGGTTAAATTCCAACTGATGCTGAGAACCAGCAATTCTCACAAAGGTCATAAAGAGCTCCCAGTTCATATTATCCCTGAAGGTACAGAAGAAAAACTGAACCAGTAAAACAAAATCACAAGGAAATGCCCAGCTCTACCTCACTCTCATGTAAAGACCGCCTGCCTTGAAGAGGTTGTGTACTTCCTCTACTCTGAGTACTTCAGTGCTAGTGGCCACTTGAGTTGTTTCTTGCAGTAATTTAATTTGCTTTACTGTTTTTTCAGGGAAAGATGAAATAATTACAACTATTTCCAATAGTTGGATAGTTTTAAAAAAGCAATGATTTAGATAATGGATTTAATATTAATATTTATGAGATATTTGTGATTATGGACAGATTTTAGCAGATGACAGTTTATGTAAATTTACAGACACTAAAGTCAAGCTTCTGATTATTCAGAATAACGTATAAATAAAAATACAGTGGGCCTAGTCCTGCTTCTGCTGCCATTAAACAGACTTCTGTCACACTTTTCAATGGAAATAATATCGTAAACCTAACCTCTAGAAACAAACATTAAGTCAAAGGTCAAGAAATATAGACAAAAAAATAAGTTAGAAAACATTAGCTGAATAACAAATAAAATATTTTTTCAATCAGAATATGAAATTCTGACTCCAACTGTGAAAACGAAGAATTTAATATAAGGTGAAAAAATGTTTTCCCTATCATTACATATTTAGTGTATTACCTTCTTCCATCAACAACACATTTAAAAGTAAAAAGAAGTGTAAACATTTGTGAGCCTTTACATTAACTTTTATGTGAATCCACCAATAGACAGTCTTCGTGCCAATCCTGCTTTGAGATAAATGTTTCCTAGACTTATAAAACACTATTATCTATAAATGAAAAAGGATGATGAAGAAAAAGTGGTCTATAGCAGAGTGAATGCCCTTCATCAGAGGAAGAAGATATCCAAAGTTGACATTTAGTGCTCTCAGAAAATTTAAGAATATCAGCATTGAAAGCAGATGGTCCATGAGCATCCTTGTTAATACTGGATGTCATGTTTTCTGAGGTGAAGTGTAGCTTAGGTAGGATTAATGGTTCAAAGAATCAGTCGCTGCCAAACAAGGATTTAAAACTAATGAGAAAAATACACAACTGGCACTGAGGGGAGTTTCTGGAAGGGCTGCATGCATTCCTCAAACAGTGGATAAACAGTTATCTCCTGACTGGGAGGCACACTGGAGAAAGTGGGAAACAGTGCACTAATACCTGAGAGAAAAACCTGTGGACTTTCCTGATTGCAGAAGGCAATGAGGATGGTGAAAACACAAGGAAAGTCTTCGCAGCATTACTTGTGGCTCTTCCCAGGACAATACAGAATCTGAAAATTGCCTTAAGTAGGAGGATGGCACCCCAACAGGACTGGATGAGTCAGAATGTTGTCCTTTATCCTGCATCTTAAAACCCTACTACAAAGCAAATTATGTTAGGAGAAAGGCTGTTACATTAAAAGCTGTTGATCTGGAGGCATTTCAAAATTCAACAAATACCTTTTTGTGTTCAGATTCACCTCCTCAGTACGGTGTTACCCTGAGAGAGCCAGAGCAGAAGAAAATCAGGCAGGTAACCAAAGCAACTTGCCAATGATTAAATTAAGTGCAGGGCAGAGAACTGATATGCCTTTTTGGATCTTTCATGATGTTTTCTGAAGCAAACCAGAGGTAGTGATGGCATCTTAAGAAATGAGACAAATAATAACTAGACAAATGGAAGTGTAAAATAGATAGCATTAACCTACAGATTATAGAACTATATACTGCAGACTATGAGCTACATACAGCAAGAGTTATTAGCAGATTTAGTTTTACCCTCCTACACTGACAACTACTGGAGAAGAATTTTGTAAGTGAATGTGGTGAAGCAGCATGTGTTAGTGATGTGCCTACACAGCCAGATTTTGGGCAGAGCTCTTTACAGAGTATACCGTGCACCAAGGTCGGAATTACCTAATGACTACAGGTGAAAGTGCCCAGCACCTACTGACTCCTCTGTGGACTAAGGCCCAATTTTGCCATCTGTTGTCACAAGTTAGATTTTTTTATTCTCTCTCCTTTAATCCTTAAATGAAGTTATTTAACAGCAAGACTATCTTTTGAACAAAATGAAAGTAAAAGTGCAATAGCCAGCATACTATAGGAAGCATAGAAGTAGCCTTCTCAGTACAAAAAAAAAGAAAGCCATAGTCCAGGAAACGCACTGTATTTGCACATCAGATCCATTTCCTGTGTCTGAGTTTGATGGTGACTTAAAAGGTCCTATGATGTACCTGAGTCATTTTTTTTAAAAATTCACACATGTCTTTAAAGCCTAAGGAGCAAAGATGTATATACATTAGAGAGAGAGAGAGAGGTAGATAGTTACTGGTTCGTATCTTTTATCCATCTATCTACTTATAAATGAAAAAGGAGG